TTCCAAGACAAATTTGTTCATTTTTCTGGGAGTCCATGGTATTTTCAGTATTCTTCACCACCACCATAATTCAAATACATCATTTCTTCTTTGGTCTTCCTTATTCATTGTCCGGCTTTTACATGCATACGAGATGATTGAAAATACCATGCCTTGAGTCAGGGCCATCTTAGTCTTCAATGTGACATCTTTGCTCTTTAACATTTTTTTAAAGAGGTCTTTTGCAGCAGATTTCCCCAGCGCAATACATCCGATTTCTTGACTGTCACTTCTGTGGGCACTGACTGTGGATCCAAGTAAAACGAAATGCTTGACAACTTCAATCTTTTCTCCACTTATCATGATGTTGTTTATCGGTCTAGTTGTGAGAATCTTAGTTTTCTTTATGGTGAGGTGTAATCCATGTTAAATGCTGTAGGCTTTGATCTTCAGCACAGCCTTAGCAACCCTATAGGGTAGTTCTACTCTGTCCTATAGGGCACTATGAAACAGAACCATCTTGGTGGCAACAGGGTTGGTTTGGTTTGGTTTCGGTATAGTGGTTAAAGCATTTCTTTTTCTTTTTCTTTTTTAAAATTTTCTTTCCTTTATTGGTTTTAGAAAAATTACAGTGATAAATACTCTTTGGAAGGATATTCAAATGCCACAGAACTGTATAATGAAGAAGAGAAAACATCCCCTTCTCCTTGTACATACATCCCGGCCCTTCCCCCAAGCTCTCTCTCTAGGTGTAGTCACTGTGAGCAGGCATTTTCTGAGGATATAACACCAAACATAGCTCCCATGAGAGCAAGGACCATGCTTGTCTTGTTCACTGTTGTTTTCCCAGGAGAGGTCTGGCATATAGTAGGTGCTCAATCATATTTGTTGAATGTTGAATGAATGATGTCTTCTGCAACTTGCTTTTATTTATTTTTTTCCATGAAACAACATAGAACTATTTCATTATTTTTAGGGACTGCCAAGCATTCCATAGTACAGATATACCTTAATGTATTTAGCCATCTCCTGATTAATGAACACTTGGGTGTTTTACAGTGTTTCAGTTTTACAAACATGAGGCTATGTGCATTCTTATATCAAATGAATGAACAAATACTTCAGTAAGGGAGATGCCCTGTAGTGGAACTGCTGGGATAAAGAGCAGGTACAGCTTAAATTTTGTCTTAAAGATTTTAAGGGAACTGGAGAGAGGGTGTAGAGGGGCTGCGAGGCCATGGCCTCTTCCTTATGGGTTTTAAATCAGCACCTCTCTGCTCAGCCTGGATTGGGTTTATAAGAGCAAGTTCCTCAAGAGCTACTGTCACTGGAACCCATCCTGGCAACCTGTAGGGGGCAGAGAGACCAGGCAAAGTTCTGTCTACCTGAATAGTTAATAGGCTTCCTTGTAACCTTGCTATAAGTACTTTGTGATTTTCAAAATATCCTCTCTTGCACTCTGGATCTTACAATCCCCATGATGCAGGCGGAAAGGTAATTATCATCCCCATTTTATAGATGAGGTGAATGATAGCCAAGGTCACACACCTGCCAGCAGAAGAGAAAGCAGCTCTGCTCAGGGACTAGTATGAGGACTATCAGGATAGGATACAATTTCCTAGACCAATTTTGTGTGTGTGGTAAATATATATATATATATATATATATTACAAAACATTTGCTCTGTGGTGTAGTGGGTAAACCAGAAGGTCAGTGGTTCAAACCCACTAGTTGCTCCATGGGAAGAAGATGAGCCATTCTACTTCCATAAAGATTTACAGCCTTAGAAACACAATGGGGTTGCTATGAGTCAGAATTGACTCAATGGCAATGAATTGGCTTTTTTTTTTTTTAACATATATTACTAAGTTACATTAATTATGTTTATAACATCGTTCATTTCACTATTTCCAAATTTTTCTATCACTCTAATAAAAGTAGAAGGAGCGCTGTGGCACAGCATCTAAGGCATTTGACTGCTAACCAGAAAGATGGCGGTTCAAACCCACCAGCCGCTTTGCAGAAGGAAGATAGAGCAATCTATTTCCGTAAAGATTTACCATCTTGGAAACCCAAGGGGTTTGCTATGAGTCGGAATGGACACAGTGGCAGTGAGTTTGGTTTTTTGGAATAAAAGTAGAACAAGTTTTTAAGGTTGAAAATATCTTCGGGATATTTAATAGGTGTCCTGCCTTAGGAGGAAAAGACAGTAAACCTATCCAGTGTCTATCTATAACAAGCTCTATTGACCTACAATAAGGTTTTTCAAACAGCTTCTCTGACCAGACTACACAGCTGCAGAAAAGACTTTAGCAAATCGAAACAAGGTTGCAGAAATGCTAGTAAGAAAGTGCTTTGGGTATTCTCGGCTTAGGCCTTAGGACAGGTAAGGTGTTGCCTCCTATAAAGAGACCACTGATGGTTTGAACTTTGTTCAACTTTGTCAGGGTTGGTTCACAATTCAGTAAGTTAGTTAATTGTCCTCATTGGAGGGTTTAATAACATAACCAACTGCAACAACAACAAAACACTGATTGAAATGGACAGTTTCTGACCGATGTCTCTTTGGAGAACTCTTCCCTTGTTCTTCATCCAAGAGGACTCACCAGAATGAAGCCCTGGGCTTTTGCAGGAGTCAGCAGCAGAGGCCCACTCTTCCGGGTTATGGCTGCTGGCTGGTAACTGGTAAGTCTGGAGCTGCTGGTAGCCATCTGGCCACTATATGGGAGCGCTCCCCCAAGTTCACAGCCAGAAAGTGGAGAAATCAGAATGTGGACCCAGGGCTCCGGCACTCTTTACTGAAGCACCAAATGGTCCATCTCCCAGTAGTCCGACACTCAGCAGGCCGGCTGTAGTTCAGGTCAGATAGGTCAGATGCTGTGTTCATATCACTGCTGCCTCCGGCCCCAGTCATGCTACCACGGGTCTGTGCGGCTCCCACCGCTACCCAGGTAACTGTGGCTCCTTTCGTACTGCCCAACACATGGCTTACGTACTCTGCTCTGCTGCTGGGCTTCACCGGGCCTGGCATCTCTGGCTCTGGTGTTGAGTCCTTCCCTGTCCTTTTGTGTGGGAGTAGAGGTGGGGGAGGGGTGGAGTGGCACACTAAGGCTTTTGCCCCGCTCAGGCAAGTGTTACAGCTTTCAGTGGCTGTGCCATCCGCTGTGTTGGGTAAGCTGCCTGTACAGGCCTGCACTGCAGCTGCTTCCTTCTTTCCCGGGCACCCAGCTTTCTGTAAGCCATCTCCCTGGGCTAACAAACCCCCTGTCTTTCTCCATCCTCAGTGCTCCAGTCTTCGACCCATACTCCAGCTCTTTTATCCAGGCTTAGTTAGCTCAGCTCCAGGGGCCAGCATTTCTGCTAACCGTAAGGTTGTTGCTTCAAACCCACCAGCTGCTCCATGAAAGAAAGATGAGGCAGTCTGTTTCTGTAAAGATTCTTGATTCTTGGAAACCCAATGGGGGGTCACTATGAGTCAGAATTGACTCAGTGGCAGGGAGTTTGGTTTTTGGAGTTAACTCATGCCAGTCCTTCTCCCTCATTTCACCTCTACCTGTTGAAGGTGCAGAACAAGTATCGCATCTGCCTTGATTATCCCTATCTGAAAATTATCCTTCCCCTTCCATTTCTAATAGAGAGCTGAGTCCTTCCTTCTTTCCACAGTGTATTTTTCTCCCAAAGGCAGTACAGTACAGTTTTTAAAAGCAACAATTATAAACCCAACCCAGCTGCTATTTCTGTGACCTTGGACATCTCATCCAAATTCTCAGTGGCTCAGTGTCATTACCTGTAAAATAGGGAGACGTGTTTATAGAATTGTTATGAAGATTAAATTGGCTTACAGTTGTAAAGCATTTAGAATAGTGCCTGATATGTAGTAAACCAACCAAAACAAAATCCACTGCCAAAGAATTCATTCCAACTCCTGTAGTGACCCTATAAGGAGCTCTGCTGACATAGTGCCTAAGGGTTTGAAGACACCAGCCACTCTAAGTAGAAAAACTGGGCAATTTACTTCCATAAAGATTTACGACCTCAGAAACCCAAAAGGGGTCTCTATGAGCTGGAATCTACTCCACAGCAGTGAGGTTTTTTTTATTTTTTAAATAGTGGCCCTATAGGACAGAGCAGGAGCTCTGGTAGCATAGTGGCTAAAGCACTTGACTGCTAACCAGAAGGCTGGCGGTTCAAACCCACCAGCCACTCCCCGGAAGGAAGGTTGGGCAATTCTACTTCCGTAGTGATACTGCCTCGGAAACCCAAGGAGGGGTCGCTATGAGTCAGGGCCGACTCGACGGCACATAACAACATAGGACAGAGCAGACTGCCCCATAGGAGACTGCCTCATAGAGAGGCTGGTGATTTGGAACCGCTCACTTTTTAGTTAGTAGCGGAAACGCTTTAACCACTGCGCCATCAGGGTTCCATGATATGTGGTGTTGTTATGGTTAGGTGCTGCGGAGTTGGACTCATAGAGATCCTATGCACAACGGAACAAACCACTGCCTGGACCTGTGCCATGCTCACAATGGTTGCTATGCGTGAGGCCATTGTTGCAGCCATTATTCAATCCATCTCCTTGAGGGTCTTCCTCTTTTTCGTGGAGGCTCTACTTTACCAAGCATGATAACCTTCTCCAGGAACTGGTCCCTCCTGGTGGTGGACAACATGATGAAAGTACGAAAGAGGTACTCTGGCCATTCTCGCTTCTAAGCATTCAGGCTGTTCTCCCAAGATTAAGGATATGGCGCAAACGCTGAATAAATGTTAGGATTCATTTTGATTAAGCATTCGGGGACATGCAAATAATTTACCAAGGCAGCGACCTACTACTGCAGAGAGCCCCAGGCCCACAGAATCCGTGCAGGGGCGTGGCCGCTCAAAGCGTTCCAGACATCACGCGCACCCCGCCCAGCAGCAGGGGGAGACCGACAGAACCGCGGGCCGCGCCACGCCCAAGTCCCGGCTGCGCGTTTTCCAGCGTCAGGCCGGCCCGCGCTAGCACTCATGTGATTGAGTCAAGATGGCTTCGCACAGCTCTTTGTGGCTCTTGGCTTTCGCTCTCCTGCCCTGGTCCTGCGCTTCCTGGGCTCTGGGGCACCTGGACCCGCCGCTGCCGCTGGTGCTCTGGCATGGGATGGGTGAGTGAGTGAGAAGAGGGACAGAAGGGTTTGAGGACTCGGTCTCCTTTTCCGAGCCTTCATTTTACCTCTGCAGAACGTGGGTGTGGAAGGTTCGCACAGCGCGAGCCCGCCCAAAGTTTTGAGATTTGGAGGCTACCCAGCCTTGGAAGGGAGCTGTGCTGGCGTAGTGCCTAGGGCATTTGACTGCTAACCGGAAGGCCGGAGGTTCAAACCCACCAGCCACTCCTGGGAAGAAAGATGGGGAATCTACTTACGTAGTGATACCGCCTGGGAAACCCAAGGAGGGGTCGCTGTGCGTCGCATCCGACTCGAGGGAGGTGAGTTTCTGCCTTGGAAAAGTAGTAGGAGATGGGAGCTGTCTTTGGTGAGCGCTTATTGCGAGCTGTGCTCAGCGTTGGGACTTTACTTGCTTTCTGTATTGAATCCTCACAGGATTGGCGTCAGGGTGCAGCATCCAGCACTTAATCAGGCAACCTGGGCTCTGGCTACGTGACTGGGTTTTCCATTCTTTTATTCTTTGGCACAGTCAACGGAAATTTTTTGTTGTTGTTATGTGCGGTCGAGTGGGACCCGACTCATAGCGACCCTTCCCTTGGGTTTCCGAGGCGGTATCGCGACGGAAGTTAGGCACCTATACAGTTCAGTCACTCGTTTAACACATAGTTATTGAAGACTTAACTAGTTGCTGAAGATACAGCAATAAACGAAACCTACTAAATTCTTTGGTGTTTCAGAATTTACTTTCCAGAGGAAAGACAGGCTATAAAGAAGTAAAAAGTAATATGTCAACTGGTGATAAGCCCTACGAGAAAAATAACGCAGGGAGGGGTTATAGATGTGGAGGTGGGAGCTTACTTTTTTTTTTTTTTTTTAATTTTTATTATGATTTGGGTGAAAGTTTACAAAGCAAACTCATTTTCTATGCAGCAGTTCATACACATTGTGTTTCATGATACTGACTGTAGTCCCCACAGTGTAACAGCTCTCTTCCCACTTCCTCCCTGTAGTTACTTCTTCCCTGCATCTTTCTTTACTATGCATTTCTGCCCCCAGAGCTATCTCTGTGTGCTGATACTGCCCCTTTGTTCTCCCTTGATTGATCGTTCTAAGGAGTGTATTAACCCTATATATGCCTGTTTGTTTGGCTGGAAGCCACAAAACTAAGTTCAATCCCAGGCCCTAAGGGTCACTAGGGGTCATAGTCTCAGGGGTCTCATCAGGCTCTATCAGACCAGTAAAACTGTTTTTTTTTTTTTTTTTAAATATGATTTTGAGTTTCATTCCACGTTGTTCTCCCACTTCGTCCAGGATTTCCTTCACTGACCCCTGTCCGAGTAGTTGGCAATGGTAGCTGGGCATCATCTAGTTCTGGTCTCACAGTCATATAGGCTGAGGTTTGCATGGTCCACTAGGCACTCACATTTGGAGGTTGAGGAGATGAGGAACTAGCCAGGAGACAGTGAAGGAACAACTAGGGAAGTGGAAGAAAGTCAGGACAGCACAGTGTCCTGGAAGCCATGTGACGAAAATGTTTTAAGGAGAAAGGAGTGATCATCTGTATCAATTCTTGTTGACATGTCAAGTAAGATAAGGGCTGAGAACTGATTATTAGATATAGCAATATGAAGGTCATTAATGATCTTGACAAGAGGAGTTTTGGTGGGGTGGTGAGAGCAAGAGCCTGATTAGAATGGGATGAAGAAAAGTGTTCAGAAAGTATTTGAGTAAGCAAGTATGTTGTTGTTGTTGTTATGTGCTGTCGAGTCGGCCCGACTCATAGCGACCCCTCCTTGGGTTTCTGAGGCAGTATCACTACGGAAGTAGGATTGCCCAACCTTCCTTCCGATAGACAGCTCTTTTAAAGCTCTGTGCCAGACCTGGGTTCATAACAGGGTGTTTAAAAGATGATCCACAATAAATGCTCCATGCTGTCCTAGAGCTCAGAACCCACAGGGGAGGCAGTTAAGTAACCAACATAGTTAGTATAGTGAATGTTACTTGAGAAGTAGGGATGCTCTGCTGATGGTGATGTTAGTTGATCCAACTCATCGTAACCTTATGTATAAGAAGCACTTGCTGCCCAGTCCTGTGTCATCTCCATGATCTTTGCATGTTTGAGAGCCTCACCTTTTTTTTTTTCTCTCTCATTCATAACTGGTTCTTAGTTTCTTCTCAGACTGAAAACAAGATGATTGATTTAAAAATGGGAAAATGGGAAATGATCTCAGTCTACTCCCACTCGGGCCTGTCAGGTTGCTTCTAGTTCCTAGCTGTGGCTCTCTGATACAGGAAGAGAAACAAGGCTGGACTACGTTAAGGTAGATGAGGTGGCTAGATTGCAGAGTTTAAGGAGACAGTCATGTGTTCATCCAAGTTCAGGGTCAGCATTTGTACAATCCAGAGAGTGAGTACCTCCTTAAATTTTGTGCCTTAGGCACCTCTCTTGCTTCACCCTAGTCCTGGTCTTGAAGGTAAATCAGATTCCAAACAACCCCCAATATTCAGTCCTGCTGGCCACTCCTCAGAAGGAAGATTGGGCAGTCTACTTCTGGAGAGATACTGCCTTGAAACCCAAGGAGGGGTCGCTATGAGTCAAATTGATTCAACGGCAGTGAGTTTGGTTTTTTGGTTTTTTTTTGGATCCCATAGGATAAGTGATCTCTGCTTATTTTTCAGTTGTAAATTTATTGACTTTCAAAACTTGATATTACTTTATAAATCTGATTTTTTCAAGCAAGTATTGCCATTTTTCTGTTTTTTTTTTTTTTAATTTTGAAAATACTTAGCTAGTCATCTAGTCACACCCCAGCATGAGAAGCCAAGAGAGTATCAACATATCACTGATGCCTCTAGGTTGTAACATGACAATGAAGTGTTTTTTTTTTTGTTGTTTGTTTAAATCTTACCTTTGAAAATAAAACTAACAAAGGCAAGCAACCTTTTCACTTTACATTTTCTGCTTAATGTCTGCTTTATTTCTTTTTCTTTCTCTTATTTCTTTTTATTATTGTAAATATATATATATATATATAGAACACATTTGCCAATTCAACATTTTTCACATATACAGATAAGTAATGTCAGTTACACCTAGTCCTCATATTAACTATCACATTATCCAACATTTCACATTTATAGTAGTAAAGAATCTACTATTTGACTATTCTATGCATTATCAATATACAACTGCAGTAAAAACGCTGAGGTACTAAGCAAGAGTAATGTTGTCTGACGGTTAATTTTATGTGTCAGTTTGTTTCATTCATGATTCTCAGTGGTTTGGCAACTATGTAATGATGTAATTTCTTAATGATGTAGTGATACAATTTGGCAGTTATACAGTGATGTAGTCACCTTCCATTTTATGATTTAATGTGGTCATCCTCCATTTTTGCATTAACAACCTAGTCTTTAGAACCTAACCATATTGATAAGTTAGGAGTGGGTGTACATTAATCATGCTGTGTAACCATCACCAATATTGTTGCCAAATATCCCATTATCATAAATAGAAACTCACTGCTTCCTAAACAATGGCTGCTCCTTTCCCCTTCCTTCCCAACCCTGGTAACCACTAATAAAGCTTTGGCCTCTATACCTTTGCCTGCTCTAGATGCAGATCACATTGTTTTGATTTATGAGTTTCCATCTTTGTTTTTCTCGGCTAGGAGACAGCTGTTGTAATCCCTTAAGCATGGGTGCTATTAAAAAAATGGTTGAGGAGAAAATACCCGGAATTTATGTCTTGTCTTTGGAGATTGGAAAGACACTGGCAGAGGTAAGGCCCTTCATAGCTCTGTTTTTTTTGAAGGTTTACTAACTGACTTCATAGAATGTATCATTAAAATGTCTTACTTTGCATTTTTAGCAGCAAACCATACAATGATAGCTTAACTCCTGAGTGGCTTATGTGCAGATCTCAGCTGAAACAAGTTCACCTCTTAGAGAAGATGCCAGTGGTTGTTTTCAGCCCCAGCCTTTCATGTCTCTGTGGCTCCTCTTTTAGGATGTAGAGAATAGCTTCTTCTTGAATGTCAATTCCCAAGTATCAACAGTGTGTCAGACTCTTGCCAAGGATCCTAAATTGAAGCAAGGCTACAACGCTATGGGTTTCTCCCAAGGAGGCCAATTTCTGTAAGTCCCTTTCTGTTACATAGCACTGTTTACATGGAATAGATTTTTTCATTTATTTAGAGAGATTCTCTTTTCTCTACTTTTTGGATTCTCACAAATCATGGAAGGAAAACCGTGCTATATGGAACTTCTTTTCTGTGAAAGAATTAAGATTTGCATTTGGCCATATCAGAGGAAAATTGTGAAGTTCTCCGACTTTGGGGAACCACTGAGGATTAAATAGCTTAATCCATAGAGCTGATATTGACAGTACATTTCTGTCTGATAGAGCTTTTTTTTTTTTTCCCCCCTAGGAGGGCAGTGGCTCAGAGATGCCCATTACCACCCATGAATAATCTCATCTCCTTTGGAGGACAACATCAAGGTAATTTTAGCCTCTTTGCCTCCTTTCTTCTATGTTCTAGTCCATGTGACCATTTTAAAAAAATCCAGCAGCTTGATTAACATAAAAAGTGAGTCATTCTTATAAAGTCCTGTTTCTCTAGCTTATGATGATCAAATAGTTGTTGTTAGGTGCCATCAAGTTGGTTCCAACTTATAGTGACCCTGTGTACAGCTCACCTGGATTAATGACGAAATAGGAAGAGATTTAGGATTCTAGAGACCTGAAAGGGTGCGTTAGGTGGCTATCCACTTCTCTCCAGTCTCATTGATGTGATTTCATGGAGGTGAGATAGTTATAGCCATGTGGCAGGGTGGTTGAGGAGTTAGGAAAATTAATGAGCTTTCCTGTTTCCTGGCATTGGCAATGTCCTGTTGAAGCTTAGTGCCTAAGCTTTTTTGTCTATTAAATTAACAATACAGATTAAACAGTTAAGCAATTACTGCCCACTCCTGTGTCATCTCCATGATCTTTGCATGTTTGAGGGTCTCACTTTTTTTTTTTCCTCATTAATCACTGGTTCTTAGTTTCTTCTCAGACTGAAAACAAGATGATTGATTTCAAAATGGGAAGTGATCTCAGTCCACTTCCACTCGGGCCTGTCAGGTTGCTTCCAGTTCCTACCTCTGGCTCTTTGATATAGGAAGAGAAACAGGGCTGGACTAGGTTAAGGCAGATGAAGGGGCTCAATTTTCTATTTAAGCAGAATGGCATACTTTGGGGGAAGGGTGTATCTTTGGAATACAATTTTATTTCTGCTATGATAGATATATGGAACCCTGGTGGTAGAGTGGTTAAGGTGCTCATCTGCAAATGTAAAGCTTGGCAAATTGAACCTACCAGCTGCTCTGCAGGAGAAAGTTGTGGTAGTCTGCTTCCCTAAAGATTTGCAGTCTTATAAGCCCTCTGGGCATTCTTTATTCTGTGGGGTTGCTATGCGTCAGAATCAACACGGTGGGTAGATGAGGGATATAGTTCGTAGCTGGTATAGTGTAGAGACAGAAGAATTCTGCTTATGATTAGGAAACCTGGGTTCACCTGGCTGCTAACTCATGGGCAGGCAATTTGGTATTAGTTTGGTATCTTACATCTTTTTCACAGATGGGGGAAACTGAAATATAACTGTGCCCATCTTGTGGGTCTTTTGGAGAAAACAATAGGTAGGAAACTACTTTTTTAAAATACAGTATTATATACATGCAAGCTGGTAAAAACAGCTTTTTCATTCATTCATTCAACAAGTATTTATCAAGCACTTATTATATACCAGGAATAAGACCAACAATGTGGCTGCCTTCATGGAGCTTTCATTATAGTAGGAAGACAACAGACATCAAACAAGCAAACAAAATAAGCACAGATAGTGGTAACTGTGGGAAAGGAAAACACAAACAAAGAAGATAATATTAGAGAGACAGTTTAGTGGCTGTAGTGGTTAAAGTTGTCAGTTCTAGAGGCCAAAGGCTTGTGTTCAAGTCCTGGCTCCATCACTTCCTGTCTACCTTTAGATAAGCTATTTATTTAACCTGTTGTAACATTTTCTATCTGTAATACATAGGAACACTGGAGAGTGAGTAAGTGCTGCTAACCAAAAGGTCAGTGATTTGAACCCACCAGCTATTCCACAGAAGAAAGATGAGGCAGTCTGCTCCCATAAAGATTTATAGCCTTGGAAACCCCGTGGGGCAGTTTTGCTTTGTCCTGTGGGGTTGCTGTGAGTTGGAATTGGCTTGATGGCTGTGGGTTTAGTTTTGGTTTTATCTGTAATGTGGGACAAATAGTGATACCTATTCCGTAGAGCAGTTGTCGGGATTAATTACTGCCTATATATGTTTAGAACTATGCTTGGTTCTCAAAAAACGTTACTGGTGAGAATGAGAGTGTAACTGGATGTAGGGGAAGAGAATGAGAGAAGCTTTGGAAACCCTGTGGGGCACTTCCACTCAGTAACACATGGGTCTGCCTGTCCCACATACTCTGTCCTATACGGTCACTATGAGTTAGAATCAACTTTAGGTAGAGTTGTCAGATATGGTTCTCTAAGCTAGGACCTGTGAGGTGAGAATGAACCCAGCCATGTGAAGCAGCCAGAAAAGCACATCTGGGAAAGAGAAGGTGCTCAGGTTCTGAGGCAGAAAAGAGTGGGAGTACCAGGTGGACGCTTGTTACGGTACTGGTTCTCACTGCGTTGCTTTTTGTGCAGTACATGAGTGAAATCAGGCTCGGAGTTCTCTTTGTGCTTATATCCATCTGCACAGTGCCTTGCACATAGTAGATACTGAACACCTGATTATTGAAGGAATGGATATTTGTCTTTTATCACTGCAGGTATCTTTGGACTCCCTCGATGCCCAGGAGAGCACTCTTACATCTGTGACTTGATTAGGAAAACATTGAATGTTGGCGCTTACTCTAAAGTCATTCAAGAACGGTATGTGTGGTTAACTGAAAAAGATATAGAACTGATGCTCTGCAAAAATATCTTGCCAATTTTCATGCTAACAGTGGTTCCAGGAGTAGCTGCTAATAATATTCTAATGAGATATTTTTATGAAAACATTTTGAAAGTACTCACCCCAAGGAATGATTGTTAGTATTTGGAGGACAGAGTCTTTCTGTTGTCAGCAGCAAGGGGTGAACCACACCTACATGAGTGTCTCAAACTATTCAAATGTGTCTCAGTATTTAAAACATATACATAATCACATCTGGAGCTCTGGTGGCGCAGTGCCTGAGGCATTTGACTGCTAACCAGAAGGTTAGTGGTTCAAACCTATCAGCCACTTCATGGAAGGAAGACTGGGCAATCTACTTCTGTAAAGACTTACTACCTCAGAAACCCAGTGGTGTTGCAGTGAGTTGGAATTGACTCGATGGCGGTAGATTTGGGGTTTTTTTGGAGTATATTCTCTTTCAGGTGATTTTGAACTTAAATATACAATCAGAACCAGTGGATAATTAATTCAGAAATAGATTCTAGGGTTTCTAGAAATTCTGATGGGGTAGATCTAGAGTGTGGTAACTGGGATTTGGGATCAGCAGATACAGTTTCGTTATCTACCCTGTGGGTTTTCCAAGTGTTGTCTAATAACAGCTCTTCAATACATCTTCTTGAAGCCATGTTCTTTGTGAATGTCTCACATATAGAAACAACCCACAGCTAACTCTCTTTTCCTTTTCTACCTTGGCTACATTAACCGCCCCCCAAAAAAAAAAAACCCACCAAACCCATTGTCGATTCCTGCTCATGGTGAACCTGTGAAAGGAGCTCTAGAGACATAATGGTTAAAGCATTCAGCTGCTAACCCAAAGGTCAGTGGTTTGAACCCACCAGCCCCTCCATGCGAGAAAGATGAGGCAGTCTGCTTGTGTAAAGATTTACAGCCTTGAAAAATCTATGGGACAATTCTCTGTCCTAAAGGGTCACTATACATTGGAATCAACTCATTGGTGGTAGGTGGTTTGGTGAATTCATGTGTTACAGAGTAGAACTGTTCCATAGGGTTTTCTTGGCTCTAATCTTTATAGAAGCAGATTGCCAGGTCTTTCTTCTGCAGCACCACTGGGTGGGTTTGAACCACCAAGCTTTAGGTTCATAAGCTAAAAAAAAAAAAAAAAACACCAAACTCACTGCCATCAAGTTGGATCCGACTCGTGTTGACCCCTCCTTGGGTTTCTGAGCCGATAGCACTACAGAAATAGATTGCCCAATCTTCCTTCTGAGGAGTGGTTAATTGTTGTTGTTGTTGTTAAGTGCTGTCTAGTCGTTTCTGACTCATAGCGATCCCATACACAGCAGAATGAAACACTGCCCAATCCCGCACCAGCCCCACAATCCCTGCTATACTTGAGCCCATCATCGCAGCCACCATGTCAATCCATCTCGTTGAAGGCCTCC